CAATTTGATCAGAAATTAGTATTGCCACTCCTGCTCTCTTACAGGTGCCATTTGCTTGATATATCTTTTTGCAACCTTTGATTTTTAGTCTGTTTTTGTCATTATCTCTAAGGTAGAAAAAAAAATTTTAAGAAAATAACAGCAGACATTCATGATCCAAATCCAGTAATAATCACTTTTGACATTTAATCCAGTTTCAGCAAATTGTATGTCTTATTTTTATTCCTTTTTCCCCTTAATATCATACAGTATTTCTCCATGCTAATAAATGTTTGTAGACTTATTTATGACCAGCGTATGACTCAAAGTCTTAGGAATATGAACCTGAGTTCCTCCTTTGACTAGACCTATTTAAGGGGAGGTATGCTTATAGTTGGACAAAACTGCTTGAACAAAAAGCTATCAGGTTGATTATTTTTTTAGGGGGTGAGAGCCTGAGGGCAATTTCTGCCACTCTTTCCTTGCTCTAACAGTATATTTCTATTGGATAAACATATTTCCTACTATCAAAATAGCATTTGATGGTGATGTGGGATCTGGTACTTTGCATTTAAATTCTTTAATTTATATGCATTTCCCTTTGGCAGGTAAATACACTGAATAAAGAGCTGCAGTCAGAATTCGTAGAAGTAATGAATGAAATCTGGGCTAATGATCAAATCAGAAGTGCCGTTCTTATTTCTTCAAAGCCAGGCTGCTTTATTGCAGGTGCTGATATCAAGTAAGTTTTAGGAAGTTAAAAGTCATCTTTTATCTTGGTTAATAGTATGTTTCTTGGGCTAATAACTCCTCCTTTTAAAAGAAGATAGAAATAAATTCCCTGCAAGGTTTTTCTTATTTTCATGACTAAGACTGATAAAATAGAAAAGCTTGTTGTTTCAACTAGCCTTTCTTTAAAGAATTTGAAAGCTATTCTAGAAGGAATTTGATTGGAATATTTTAATTGTTGTTGTTGTTGTTCTATGTGTCGTCAAGTCAAACCCTACTCATAGCGACCCCTCCTTGGGTTATCGAGGCAGTATCACTATGGAAGTAGATTGCCCCATCTTCCTTCCAAGGAGTTGCTGGTGGGTTTAAACTGCCAGCCCTCTGGTTAGCCGTCTAGTGCCTTAGGCACTATGCTACCAGAGCTCCCAGGAATAGAATAAAAAATATCTAAAAATTAAACTGACAATGACATGCCATTTTTTTTTACCCATCAGACCAGCAAGCATTTAAAAATCTAAAAATATCATGTGTTAGCAAAGACTTGGTGAAATGAGAAGGTTAATTATTAGTAGGAATACCAGTTCATATAGCCACATTGGAAAACAACTTGGCAGCATTTAGTAACATTAAAAATGCATGTATCATATAGTCCAGCAGTACTAGAAAAATGTCACTGTGGCTTCATAAGGACCCACGTGTAAGAATATTCCATCAAAAAAAAAAAAAAAAACTCATTGCCATCACGTCA